ATGCAATGTAGAAAAGGCTAGAAAAGATAATTTTGAGGGCAGACAAAAATTATCTTCCACACATTATATTTAAGGCAAGTGAGTAAAAAAATCTCAATTTTTGGCTTTATTTTATGTGCTGCTACACCTTTTAGTAAAACTATTACTGGTGTTTTTTTTTTCACCCCCCTGTTCATAATCACCCCCGATCACGGTACTTTACGACCCAAAAGTAAAAATCATATTTCCGCTTAGTGACGCATAGTGCGTCGAAATCGCTAAAAAAAAATACGTTTTGTCTAGCGCAACGGTACCGTTGCTTTTGATTTAAAAAATATCTTAAAGCCACGCACAGTGGGATAAAATCGCGTTTTTTGTGCCAAAATTATTTTTAATTTTTTTTATTAGAACTGTTATAAACTAATTATACAAACCATATAAAATGAATATCAAGCTCATATATATTGCTAAAAAAGTTTATATTTTAGTTTAATTACCGTGAAAAATTACGAACTAGATCTATATTCTAGAACGTAGAATTCTCGCAAATAAAAAGTTCAACAATACCCGGAGGAAATTTCTTTTTTACAGATGAAACAGTTTTTCTGTAAGATGAAATAACTAGATCAGATGTACATAAAAGTCTTTTCATTACATCTTCGTTTGTCTTTGTTCTTGAATTTTTACGGGAATGATGTTTCCTATATTTTCTAAGTTCTTTATTTCTAGCCTCTTGAGCTTCTTCACTAAATAGACCTATTGGTAAGAATAGATTTTCTATTACTTCTGCTCCATGAATTAAGATCTTGTGAAGACTCTGAGGCATGTAATACCAATGGTATAAACATGAGTAGAGTTTTGCGGTCTCCAGACAAAGTAAGCGAAACTTACTAATATCTTTTTGAAATTTACTTGATATACAAATTAGGATTATATGCAACTTTACAATTAGTTCCTTGTTTATTTCTGTAATATCAGCAAACAAGTCTTCATTTGAAAAAGCTTTTCGAGCAGTATTGCCATCATTTGAGTTTCCAGATCCTCCACATTTTTGGTAGTCAACAATAAGTCCCATTTTGTGTTGAAATTCTTTTTATACCTTCATTTTTTGCTCTTTAACAAGAGATTTCTTTACGTCTCCTCTTGCTTGCCATTTTTTTATTGGTACCTTATATGAAATATGTATGAGACACTCAAAAAATCTTATCCATGCATGAAGTGTAGATAATCCATATTAAAGCTCATCCGGTGAGTATGGAAGTTTCGTAACTTTGTCAATATTGTTCATGTCTTTTGATGAACACCCGCATATACAGCAACATTGACTAGAGCTTGTTACATTTGATAGAGCAGTATGGACTTTACCATCTATCATTGTAACTTGAATGATATGTTTGACTGAAATAGACTTGCCATTAGATAACTGAATAAAAGTTTCTACAAGATTTAAGATCTCGTCTTTCAAAGTAGCTTCTTCAATAAGTAATAAATCACTTGTTTCTTTTTCAAATTTAAATCTTAAAGATCAGCAATGTGGAAGAAGGTTTTGGATTTCTCTAAATGACAGTTAGGGTTTCTCTAACATAAGTTGTAATCTGAAGTGGAACCAGGCAAGTTAGAAACAATGATTCTTCTCTTTTCAAGTCGCGAAAACTTCAACAGACATTTTTTATTTATATATGCTTTGACCAGTAAACCCATCAAAACCTGCTTTATAATGAAGACAGGTCAAACGTTTCTAGCATACATAAAACCTCATTTTGAACTTGACAAAGTCTTTGAGCTGTATGGTCACATAAACTTTGCAGTGGTATACTTGCAGTATAGTCAGTAAAAATCATGTTATTAGAGTAGCACAAAAGTTTTGATGATTTTATATTGTTATATGCAGGATACAGGTTGCATTCTTTTTCAATTGCTGCATTTCTATGGAGTTGAAACGCAGCTTTGGCCATATTTGAATCTAGCATCAACGACAATGCTTCATTTCCAGAAAGCATCGAAGAATCTAAATTCTTATCTAAATATATTTTGTTGATTGCTTTAGCTTTTTCTATTTTTCCTTCTTTATTTAATGAAACTTTTGAAGCAAATATTAGCTCATTTGACGAGTAACTTTTTTGGAGTTTACTAACAGGTCGATACTTAGTTCTTGAAGAACACTCTTGAAAGTCAGTAATTGTTGGTCGACCAGCGCTGGAAGTAGATTGAGAACTTGTAGGTATGGTTATTTTGCCTGCAGCAAAATCATTTAAAGTAATTTCATTATCAAGCTATTTAGTATTGTTCTTAATAAATAAAGATTCTCTGCGTTTACAGACATTCCAACGAAATTTAAGAGGTGCTAAAATGTTACTATTAAAGATTCTCCAGAAGTCCAGAACTTAAATAAAAATTAGCAAAAACTGAATCGTTTTTTAAACTTTTCTCAAAAAATTAATTAAGATTAGCTGGTTAAACAAGAAATATAGAATTTTGGATCCCCCTAATATAACCGCATAAAACAACGTTTAAATTAATATTTAATGTTTTTTTAACTAAATATTTTCTCTAATAAACATATTTTTACCATTATGACATATTTTCAGAATACAATGCCGATAGTGATTTTTTTGTATTTTGGCACACTTTGTCTCACTGTGCCACGGTAATAATATCTTAAAGAAACGGCTGCGAGTATAATTTGTTGATTTTAAAAGTTTTATTTGTAGAAATTTAAAACAAATTGCTTCTTCACTATGAACGTTTAGCATTGTGGTATCTCATTGGTTCACCTTGCCCGGTGATTCGGGATCGAGACTTTCACTTAAAAAAATTTTAAAATGTTTTTTAACTATTTTTTATTGAAAGTTATTATTATTGTTGTATATTGAAATTTACATAGATTTTTATTATTTACATACATCAACTGATATAGGGATAGGCGCAGTGAGTGTACATACATCGACAGATATAGGGATAGGCGCAGTGGAGCGCATTTACATCGATTAAGAGTTTTGGCTTAGGCATGTACTTATGTTATGGACAGTGTTAGTAAACCATTATTTTGTTTAACATCATCTTCAATTGAAAGTAGTATATTCCCTGACATACTTAAATTAGCCAAAATTAATCTAATTCTCAATAAAGGTAATTGCAATAATGTTTCTGTCTACTAACCTATTTCTCGACTTCCAGTATTTTCAAAAGTATTTGTGAGAGTAATTTATAATAGAGTTAATAAGTGCTTTACATTAAACAATATATTTTACAAAAATCAGTTTGGATTTCAAAGCAATTGCTCTACTGAACATGCTATTATTAAACTTGCAGACAAAATAATTCGTTTGATAGTGATGAACTGGTAGCAGTTTTTATTAATCTTTCTAAGGCCTTTGATACAGTTGATCACAGTATTTTACTTTCAAAGCTAAAATATTAAGGTATAATAGGCTCAACATTTAATTGGACTCAAAAATTTGTCTAACAGAAAGCAGATTGTATTACTAGAAAAATCAGGAGCCCTCGATATTACGTGTGGAGCTCCTCAGGGTTCCTAGGTCTATTATTGTTTTTAATATATGTCAACGATATGCATAAAGCTTCCCAAAAAATATCTACAATTATGTATGCTGACGATACAAATTTATTTTTTAACCATCCTGATGCAAAGACTTTGTTTGACAGGCGCGGATTTAGAGGGGGGCACAGCCGGCTCGTGCCCCCCCTAAAATTTGATTAATTTTTTATTTATAATTATGTCGATCCATTCTCAGGTCAGATATTCACTCTATAAAAGACAGACATTCACTCTTACTTTGTAATTGGAAATTGCAACAATACATGTAAAAGTGTATTCAATATATAAATGTTGAGAATTGAAAGTGTTTTTGCTATTCATTTTTGGAAAAAAAACAATGATTTTGAAAATGTTATATTAACAAAACTAGTTAGAAAAGGGTACTGGAAACTGTCCATTTTGGGTTGTCATTTCATTAAAAATCATTGGCGGCTGATTATAGACCCCAGAAGGGGAGGGGGATACCCCCTCCCCTTAAACCCCACCCCATTTGTGCCCCTTCCCCTATCTTTACAACCTGTATCCGCCCCTGTTTGAAACTATGAATATTGAACTCGAAAGTTTCAACCTCTGCTTCATAGCAAATAAATTATCCCTAAATTGTGAAAAAACTAGCTTTACTCTTCTTCATAAAAAAAAACAATGAATTAATCTTCCGTTAAAGCTACCTAAACTGTTTGTTAATAAAAATAAAATTAAACGTGAAAAATACACAAAATTTTTTTAGTCCTTTTTGATGAAAATTTGTCATGGAGAAACTATATTGGTCTTCTTGATACAAAGGTGTCCTCTGTAATAGGTGTTTTAAATAAGTCAAGACCTTTTCTCGATAGTAAATCGCGTAATATGCTTTACTTTAGTCTTGTACATAGTCAGCTTTTGTACGCAAATATTGTATGGGCCAGCACCCATAAAACCAAATTGCTAAAATTGCAAAGTCTGCAAAACCATGCATGCAAAGCAAAACGAAAATGCAATTCCTGACATATATATTATAGTTTACAGTATTTGTTTTCAGATTTTTAAATTTTTTGTTTTCTTTTTTTCGTCTTTTTTTTTTCTTTTTGTTTTCAATTTTTTACATTAAAAAAAAAAGAGTTTTGTTTTACTGAATTTTTATTTTACTTTAAAAACTCAAGTGTTTTTTTTTTAATGAGTGACTAAAGGGGCTCTATGAAAAGGTTATATATATATATATATATATATATATATATATATATATATATATATATATATAATATATATATATATATATATATATATATATATATATATATATATATATATATATATATATATATATATATATATATATATATATATATATATATATTGCGAAATAAAAGTTAAATAATAAATAAATAAATAATAAAATACATTCTTTAAATAAAAGAAAAGAAAATCAACCTATCAGAAATCACTACCGTGACCTAAAGAAAAAAATTAAAGCGACGGTATCGTTGCGCTAGACAGCGAAAAAAATACTTTACGGACGTTTTGATCCATGACCATAAACTTGTTAACATTTATGGCTTATATTTATAAAACAATCAAGCATGTAATACATACTAGTGAAATTAGCTTATCTTATATTTCAAGAAAAAAACAAGATAAAAAATGAGTAATCAAAAACAAAAAGCAGACAAGAAAGTTGTTATTCTTGGAAGTGCAGAAGTTGGCAAAACATGTCTTATTCGTAGATACATCGAAAACACTTATGTCAAAGATATTTCCAGCACAATCGGTTGTTCTTTCTTTTTAAAGCAATGGGGAAACAAAAATATAGCTTTATGGGACACTGCTGGTCAAGAAGTATTTTCTGGTCTAACTAATTTTTACTGTCGTGGTGCTCACGCTGTTATACTTTGTTATAGTTTAGTTGATCGTGCAAGCTTTAATGATATTGACACACGTCACAAAAGATTGCTTGATACAGTTTCAGAAAATTGTATTATAGTTTTAGTAGGAACTAAAATGGATTTATTAGATAATAAGATAAATAAAGATTTAACTAAAAGAGCTGTTTTACCTGAAGAAGCTTTGGCGAAATCACTGGAGTTTATGGAAAGGTTTCAATCTCTGAAACATCCCAAAGGAAACCTACCAGTTTTTGAAACAAGTTCAAAAGAAAATATTCAAATTAAAGAGTTGTTTGAGTTTGTGTTTGAAACTTTGGAGCCCGAAACATGCCTCTTATCAGAACCTTATACCCCCAAAGGAGTAATTACATTAAATTCTCCTAAAGTTGTTACAAAAAAGAAATGTTGCTAAAGCTTATCAAACCTTAAAAGTTTAAAATTGATATTCTGACTATTGCAATAATAACAGTTATATATATATATATATATATATATATATATATATATATATATATATATATATATATATATATATATATATATATATATATATATATATATATGTATTTATGTGTATATGTATGTATGTATGTATATATACACACACACATCTGAGTGTATGTATATATTTTCAAATGAATGCTCAATAAACAAAATTAAAACATAACTATATTTATCTATATATTTTTTAACAAGATTATACTTTTTTTACCTCTACAAGTTTTATGCTAATTGAATCATCAGTTAAGAAAGTATTTTTACTCAACGATTGCATTTAGCATGTTGTAAAAAATATGTAATTTTCGTTTGTTTGTATATATATATATATATATATATATATATATATATATATATATATATATATATATATATATATATATATATATATTTATTTATTTATATATATATATATATATATATATATATATATATATATATATATATATATATATATATATATATATATAAATAAATAAATATATATATATATATATATATACATATATATATATATACATATATATATATATATATATATATATATATATATATATATATATATATATATATAAATAAATAAATATATATATATATATATATATATACATATATATATATATATACATATATATATATATATATATATATATATATATATATATATATATATATATATATATGTATATATATATATATATATATATATGAATTTTGTATACTTTTCCGAATTATGTGAGAAATAAAAAACAATGTGAAAGTGCGAAGCATTTGTCTGGTATTCTTTGTATATATGTGTGTGAGAGTATATATATATATATATATATATATATATATATATATATATATATATATATATATATATATATATATATATATTATGTTTAGATATAAACTTAAATTCTTGAATTATGAGTTTCAAATTTTGACTAAATATATTTTTATACATGTTTATGTTAGACTTCGTTAAAGTTGTAATTTAAAAAAATATATCTTAACACTTGGTTTAAAATTTTTTGTTTTAAATTACAAAACACACTGTCAAAAATATTTAGTATATTTTTCTATTAAATTTAGTATATTTCTATTAGTATTTAGTATATTTTTCTATTAAATTTAGTATTTAGTATATTTTTATATTTCCCTATTATTGCATTCATTTGTTTGTGTGTATTAGAGGTGTATATATATATATATATATATATATATATATATATATATATATATATATATATATATATACACACACACAAAATATTTTTTTTATGTCTCAAAAATGCAACATTTTTACAGAACCAAAAGATTTGAAACATGTTCTGGTTATATATAAATAAATAAAAATATGCCAGTTTTTAGAACTATAGACCTTTAGGAAGTGTTTGGTGTAGATTTTCATTTTTTCTTCAAAAAAAAAACATCTACTCCTAATATCTAACTTTTGAATAATGAAAATTAATCTCAAAAAAAAAAAAGTTTTTTCAAAATAATTTTAGCTTTATTTAATTTTAAAAATTATTTACATTTTATCTAAAGTATTTTGCTAAGGAGTTATGTTGTTCAAATCGCTCTTTTTCATTCACTTGTCAACACTTTTTCTATTCTCTTTAGCAAGCAATGCTTTGTCTCTGACTCTCGATATGGCTGGCTGTCAGGAAATCCTGAATATTTAAAATATGATCTTTAAAAAACTTTAAACAAGGAAGAAAATCTAAAATTTTTTTGTCAGGAATCCGAAATAATATAACTTTTATACAGAGGCCATTTTAAGGGGGAGCGTGTTCTAACCTCTTCCCTAAAGATGGTGATTTTCAAGTTAAAGTCGGTTTTTTGACGAATTTAGTCGGGTATTTAAAACAAAAAAGTCAGGTGAATTTTAGTTGTGAGGACCTTTTTTATCATTTTTTTTCCAAAAAAATGATAAAAAAGGAACCAGTCGGTACTTTTACTAATACTAGACTTACTAGAATTCTCCCCTCTCCCTTTATTTTATTCATAGAACCGTCTCTTCTTTTATATAGAGTGTATGAAGTGTATGAAAGTATAAATATGTGTTATTGAATATAAATTTGTGTTATTGAATGAACTTGTCAATTTGTCATTTCTGATCTTAGGTTTTTTTATTTAAAAGTAGGAAATATCTTCTGGACAGGGATACTCAATAAATTGCTATAATCTATAATCAGGAATACTCAATAAATTTCTATATTCATTATTATTAAAATTTAACATTTTGCGTTTGTAAATCTTATAAATTGCAACTAATATAATGATATAATATTGTTAAAACTGTGTATGCATTTATGCTTATTTTGGATAACGTTCAATAGTTCTTTTTTTTTTTATTGTATATCAGAAATATATATAAATCATCAAAAATATATATAAATCATCAAAAATATATATAAATGATAATTTATATACATTTGTGATTTTTTTTTTTTTTTTGCGCTTTTGAGTCGATAAGACGTGTTTTTGTTTGAGCGTAAGTTTTCTGGAATTTTAATTTTTTTTCCGTACTCTTTATCTTTCTTTTACACTTATTTTTTTTTTCTAACCATTACTTCTTTCTCTTCTTATTGGTTTATCTTATTAGCTTATTCTACTTAAAAATTATAGAAATATATTAACTATATTCGTCTATAATACAGTTTTTGTTGTGCTTCGCATAACTATATTTAATATAATTCTTATATATACCTATACTCAGGGCCGGTGACGCGAAATAAAATAACTCCCCGAAAAGTTAACTCCCGGTTGAAACATTTTAACTTCTCGGTTAATCTATTTCGAAATAAATTAACCCCGGGAGTTGAACTATTTTAAAACATGGCGAAATAAATTAACCGGGGGCTTAAATATTTCTATCCCCCATCGTAATAAATTAACCCCTATTAATTCGCGTTTTAAATTATTTAGCTTATAATAAGTTCTACAAAATTGCGTAGGTAGTTTTTTCTAATATATTTTTTTAATATATATCTTCAGTTAGCGTTGAATAAAATTATTTTGTAACTGTTTTCGTTTTGCTTAGTTTGTATATTGTTGTGAAAGTATAAAGGAGATCAAAATAATAATAATAATATTGCAGCAATTTCAGCGAACCTTTATCTTGCAATAATGTTTGAGATTATAGTCTATAATCTCAAACATAATTGCAATAATGTTTGAGATTATAGTCTATAATCTCAAACATTATTGCAAGAGAAAGGTTCGCTGTATATAGCGAACTAGTTAGCTATCATAGTATTTATATATATATATATATATATATATATATATATATATATATATATATATATATATATATATATATATATATATATATATATTTATATATATATATATGCATATATATATATATAAATATATATATATATATATATATATATATATATATATATATATATATATATATATATATATATATATATAAATTAGTAGAAAATCAATTAACAAAAATTTTTATTTTTTTATTTTATTTACAATGTGTTTCATCAATATAGACTCATCAGAAATTTCTGATGAGTCTTTATTGATGAAACACAGTGTAAAATGAAAAAAAAAATTTGTCAAGTGATTTTCTACTAGTTTATAATTGCTCTGTTCTTTTAAGAACATTGAGCACTCTATTTTGTAGAATACATTTTTAAAATAGTATATATATTTATATATATGTATATATATATATATTTACATATATGTATATATATAAATTAGTAAAAACACTCATCTAATAATTAGACAGTCGAGGAAAATTAGACTAATTTTCCTCGACTGTCAAAATTAGATGTGTTTATACTAATTTACTACTGCTCTGTTCTTTAAGAACATTGAGCACTCTATTTGTACAATACACTAGGTCAATTCCACGCTTAAATGAGTTATTTCAATAAAATAATTAAATAAATTTAATTATTTTAAATATAATTATTTTAAATTATTTTTAAATTTAATTATTTTAATTAAATAAATTTGATTGTTTTAGCAAAGTAATCACTGGGTTACCTTATGTTTAAAAATTTTTAGTTTTGATTAATAATGTTACTTGTGTGTTTTGTTTTTGTTTTAAAATATCAAATTAAATTCATGCCTCATACTTTCTATATAAATGGTAGCTAATCTACATTTTGATAAAAGTGTAGAATTGTCTCTGTAAGTAACAATAGAACAAAAGGACAAAGCTCTACGACCAGCACGATTTTACATACATAAATAAGTAGTTATGTGATTATATTTAGCATCAATAATATTGTTGTTATATTAATATTTCTTCTTTTGTTTTAGTTAATAAAAAGTTAAAAAGTAATAATTCAATTGTTGTCATTTATCCTTCAAGTCCACAACAATTTTATTAACTTGTAATTCATTGTGTTACAAAGAACAAAAGGACAAAGCTCTACAACCAGCACGATTTGAATCACCTCCAAACACACCATCAAGTAACCAAGAATTTAATCATTGGTTTAAAACTTTTGAATATTTTTTAGATGTGTTACCTCAAGAAAACATTGACATACTCCTTTATCAGTGGTATAACTTATAATGAAATCCAATAACGACTTCTCAAAAATAGATCCATAAAATTAGAGGTTATCTTTGACAAAACTATTGTAATATCTTTCAAAGCAATATAACACTAACTCAACAGCTGCATCTATCTTGAAACTAATATTAGCAACTACTACTAGTTGTATAAATCCAATATAAATCAAAACAAAAAAGTCTGACTGTAAACTAATAGCCTCAAAATCTCGCCTCTACAGTGCTGAAGACAGAATTTTTTTAGCTCTGAAGTACAACACCTTTACAAAGAAGGAATTATCGAACCTTCAACATCACCATGGAGATCACAAGTCATTGTAACAAACAAGAGATCAAAAAAGTGCCTAGTCATAAACTATAGTCAAACTATCAATTGTTTTATGTCTTGATGTCTACCCTCTACCACAAGTAGTTAAACTTTTAAGC